GTGTGTGTGTGTGTGTGTGTTGTTGAAGTAAATAAAATATTTTTATAATGAACAGGTCACAAATGTTTAGTGTGTTTTATTTTTTGTTCACTAATATTTTTAGGAAGGTGCTGTATCAAAGTGTGGCTCTTACATCATCATTATAATTATTATTTGATATAAATAAAGATAAGACTCATAGAAGTTCACGTCTTTAAATTTCAATAAACAGGCTGTAAAAGTCATTCCCCCCCCCCCCCCCCCATTCTTTTCCTTTGTCCTAACGTGTAGAAATATTAATAAATACCAACAATTTAGTGCAAATCTTTAATTGCATTATGCAACAAATGTAGTTTTTATATTCCTTTATTTGACCTTTGACCTTTATACAAATGTGTGTTGCTGCTCTGGAAGATTTTATTTAGTGGGACAGGGAGCAAATAAGGCTTGTTCAGTTTCAAGTTACTGGTAGCTGTTCCTGAACCAGAGCACGCACGCACACGCGCGCACACGCGCACGCTCACAGCGTGATCAACAAAGAACACACGTGTTTACAAGAAGCCAGACGTGGGGTGCAGCAGCTGAGGACAGTGTGAGGGAGGAGCAGGACGGGGACTCACCCTGAGCTCCTTGAAGAAGACGCAGCTCCGGGCCCACTCCACGATGGAGAACAGGCTCTGGTCCGCCATGCGGCACATGAGGCTGAAGGTGCTGGGCTTCTCCAGCCGGCCCCGGCTGCTCTGCTCCTGCTGCAGATGGGCCACGATCTTGTTCTGCACCACCAGCTCGTCCGGGTCGCAGCGCAGCAGCTCCAGCACCAGGGGCGGCAGGCTGGGGGGCTGCGGCGAGGCCGAGGGGTACACGTCTGGGTAGGGGTATCCTGTCAGGGACTCAGGGGAGCTGGTGTAGTCTGGACATTCTGCTTTGATGGCCCTGCTGGGGAAGGCCGTGTACTGGTACTGTGGGGTGAGGGGCACGTGGGCCTGCATGGCCATGCCCAGGGAGGCAGGTCCATACAGGTTGGCTTCGTAGTCCATGGGGGGGAGAGAGGTCGGGGGGGAGGGCAGCAGGCTTTTGGAGATGGTGGGCAGCGCGTGCAGGGTGCCGGTGAAGCTGTAGTCAGTCTGTAGAGGGGAGGCCGGCGGGGGGGCCGTGGTCTCCAGCTTGAACCCGGTGGATCGTATCAAAGCCTTCTTCTGCTGTTTCAAGGCCCGGTCTCTCTTGTACATGGGGCCAAACTTATTCCTCCCCCCACGCATGCGATCTGCCCGGACCGCTATCACACACAGAAGAGGTGAACACAGATGAAACAGCAGCTCTGCACTTTTCACTACACTCTGCGAAACCAGCACGTCCAAACACACAGCCCTGACTCTCTTCCTGCTTCCCTTTTTAGGCCTGAGAGGACTCCCTCCCTCCCTCCCTCCCTCCCTCTCTCCCTCTCTCCCTCCGTCCCTCCCTCTCTCCCTCCCTCCCCGGAGTCTGAGCTGGACTCCTTCTTCCCTGGGGAGGCTCAGGGTTTTATCAGCAAGTCAAGAATGTGACTTTTTTTTCTCTGCTGCGGAAGCAGGTGCTTTCCTTTGGACCGCTGTCTGGGAATTAGTCCCATCCCATGTGCAGCCACCAGTCAGAACCAGGAAACGGACTGGACCGGATCACTGAGCTTTAAGTCGCAGTGAATTCAAAAAGATCCGCTCCGAACAGCTGGAATACTTCAAATGATTCACATCGACCTGAATGAAGACGAAGAGAAACGTTTCATACACAAGCTCTCGAGATTTAACTTAACGAGCTGAGAAACTGATGGTTCTGATGGTTCTGATGGTTCTGATGGTTCTGATGGTCCTGATGGTTCTGATGGTTCTGATGGTTCTGATGGTTCTAATGGTTCTGATGGTTCTGATGGTTCTGATGGTTCTGACAGGTCTGTCCATGTAGAACCAGAAACCAGATGTTTGTCACATGTTGAGTTCTGAAAGACTCAGCTGCTCTCACAGTTTCAGCTCAACATCTTCAGACTTCACTGATTACTTTGGTTCATAAACTCGTAAACTCGGTGGTTACAGAGATATTTTGCTAACAGACTGACTCCAACAACTAGCATAACATTTTAAACCAGATGTTAAACCAGATGTTAAACCAGATGTTAAACCAGATGTTAAACCAGATGTTAAACCACATGTTAAACCACATGTTAAACCACATGTTAAACCACATGTTAAACCAGATGTTAAACCAGATGTTAAAGCAGATGTTACTGTGACGTGTTTTTGACTCTTCACATTTTTGCTTGATTTTTTCCTTTAACCCATATTTGTGCGTTGGCAGTGTGATTAGCTGTGGCGGCCATCTTGAAGGGACTGACTCCATAAGGTCTTCAGTTTTAGAGGCGAGGACGCCACACTTCTTACATTCATTCAGGGGGTCATGAAATATTTTGCTAACAGACAGAACGAGTTTAGTTCAATTTTTGATTTGACTCAGAACATGTTGCATCACTGCAGCTCCACACCTGTCCAGATGTTTGAGCCTCTGCAGCTCC